GATTGTTTAGGAGAGTGTTGTTCAGTTTCCATGTGCTTGTGAAGTTTCTATAGTTTCTTGTGCTATTGATGTCTAGTTTGATTGCACTATGATCTGATAATAAACAGGGGATGACTTCAATTTTTTTGCATTTATTTAGACCTGTTTTGTGAGCCAGTATGTGGTCTATTTTGGAGAATGATCCATGTGCAGCCGAAAAGAATGTATATTCTGGTTTTTGGGGGTGGAATACTCTATAAACATCTATTAAGTCCATGTGTTCCAAAGCTTGGTTCAGTTCTATTATTTCATTGTTGATTTTCTGCCTAGTAGATCTGTCAATTTGTGATAGTGGGGTATTTAAATCCCCCACTACAATTGTATTAGTGCTTATTTGGTTTTTCATGTTACTTAATATTTGTTTTATATAGTTGGGGGCATTTATATTTGGTGCATATATGTTTATGATTGTCAGCTCTTCCTCTTGAATTGTTCCCTTTACAAGGATGTAGTGTCCTTCTTTGTCTCTCTTAATGAGTTTTGGTTTGAAATTTACTTTATCTGAGAATAAGATTGCTACCCCTGCTTTTTTCTGGACTCCTGACGCATGGAGAATTGTTTTCCATCCTTTCACTTTCAGTCTATGGACTTCCTTTTGCACTAGGTGTGTTTCTTGTATACAACATATTGTTGGATTTTGCTTCTTAATCCATTCTGCCAATCTGTTTCTCTTGATTGGTGAATTGAGGCCATTAACATTGATGGTTACAACTGATATATTTTGACTTATTCTTGTCATGTTTTTGTCCATTTGTTGACTCTTTTTACTTTTTCTCCCATCTCCTTTTAGTTTCTTGCCTTGCCTATTTGATTTGGTCTGTTGGGCCTCATGTTATTGTGAATTTCGTTGTCCTTTTCTAGGATATTGTTTAGAATTCCTTGCAGTGCTGGTTTGGTGTTCATGAAATTTCTCAGGTGCTCTTTGTCGTGGAAGTATTTTATTTCCCCATCTATTTTGAAAGAGAGTTTTGCAGGATACAAAAGTCTAGGTTGGAGATTCTTTTCTTTTAGGACTTGGAATACCTCACTCCAGGCTCTCCTTGACCTAAGGGTTTGTGTTGAAAAGTCTGCTGTGATTCTAATGGGCTTCCCTTTGCATGTGATTTGTTTCTTTTCTCTTACTGCTTGTAGTATTTTGTTTTTCTGTTGGATTTCTGGAATCTTGATTATTATATGTCTAGGTGTAGATTTTTTTTGATCGTGGCTAGTTGGGGTTCTATATGCCTCACTTATCTGTATGTCTAATTCTTCCCTTCTGTTTGGGAAGTTTTCTGTCATTAATTCTGTGAAGAGCTTTTTTATATCATTTGTGTTTTCTCCTGTTTTTTCATGAATTCCTATCAGTCTTATGTTATTTTTCTTTGTATCGTCTAGGAGTTGTTGGATTGATTTCTCATGATCCCTTACTGTTTTTAATAGACCTCTTTTTTCACGGTCACTGACTGCTATCCTATCTTCTATATCTGAAATTCTATCTTCGCAATCTTTTATTCTGTTTCGTACACTTTCAATAGAGTTTTTAATCTCCTGGATATCTGTTTGAATCTGTTTTATGGATTCCATTTCTTTCCTCTGTTGGGCATTCATTGTTTCCATGTCTTTCTTATGCTGAGTCTTCATGGCTTCTATCACAGTCTTGAGCTCATCTATTTTTTTCTCAGTTTCTGCTCTAGAGTCTCGAATCATGACTTCTATTTTGCTCATCATCTCTCTGGCTAGCTGGGAAATTATTTCTGATTTGAATTTTTCTAGAGCCTGATTGATCAATTTTGTTACCTCCTGTGCTATGGGTCCAGGGAGTCCTGTTGGTTCACTATCAGACTTTTCATCCTCATTTGTCCTACTATTTGCTATTGGTGAACTGGATATTTGTTTTTGTGTCTTGCTTAAGTGTTTTCTCATTTTTATTTTTATTGTTGGGTTGTCCTTCTTTAATTTCTGGGTATTACTTAAATCTTCCTAATATAGTTGCGTTTTAGCTTTTGAGTATCTTATGACTCATAGACATTCTCGTTTTCATAATATCAGAGAAAACAACTCTTTAAATCAATCACCACTCTTTGTCCCAATTGATACATTCAGCAGCCCAATAGGATCAGGCACAGCTTGCCAACTGACCACTTATGGTAGTCATTAATGTATCACCTTTAACTCATGTGAATTAGATTAATTTCAAGAAGCAGCTCATAGTATGTTTGCAGTGAATATTCTTTTCAATATGGCATCTTTACCATTTAGGATGGGGGGTTCGACTTAGAACAAGAGGATTAGATAAGTGAAAGAATTAGAGCAGGTTTGAAGTGAATCCAGAGGTTGTAGAATTACCTTACTATCTTTACAAAGCTATTAAGTTCAGGGGGGATAGAGAGAGTGCAGGAATAAGGACAGGAATATATCCCCTTAACAGTAACAGGCGCTTGCCTTCCCTTGAAGGTACAGAGCCATGAGTGAGGTAAAATGACTGGAGAAAAGAACATAAAGAGAAACCCGTCCTAAAAACAAAAAATAAAAAAAGAAGTCTGAGTTCTTCAGGAACTGGAATAAAAAGGGAGATGAGGGACACTATGGTGGAGCAAGAGACTGAGTTGGAGAGACAGGACAGAAAAAAGAAAGAAATTTTAGGGTGGAAAGAGGAAAAAAGAGACAAGAGAGAGGGAAAGAAAAAGAATTTGAAGGTCCTCTTTCAGGCTATCTCTGATCTCATATTATACCACATGCACAGTCATATGCGGAACCCAATCCCCTGGTCTTAGCTAGCCAATGGCTGTTCCTCACGACTGAGACTGAACACAATCTACAAGGCCTAACTTTAGTTCCCTTACCCTCAGGGTTGAACTCCACTCCGTTCTATTACAGGTTTCCCCTGCCCTTTCTTTAAAGATGTTCAAAGTTCGGAGCTCAGAAAACTACCCTTCATGGGAACCTATGTCTCTGCAGAGTTGGTCTAAGGACTGGCCCGATCAGGAGTTTTGAGAACCGGGGTGGGGGGGCGTCATGTGGGTGTTTCAAGGGCGCCCGCGCGGCTGCCTTCCTTCCTGGGTCTGTTGTCGCGTAGGCCGGGAGCTCGCGCGCACGCCGCCGGGTGATCGCAGGCAGGCAGGCAGGCAGGCAGCTGAAAAAAAAACCCAGTATCCTTTTTAAGGTGGTGTGTGCAGATAAAAATCTGTCAAAATTTATTAGAATTTTAAAATGTGAAAATATGCCTTATATTTTCCCTTTACCTCTTTTCTTCTTAAAATGGTTATGAGCACCTGCTTCAGCATAAAAAGACTTGAGTTCAAGGGGACTTTGGGTCAGTTACTTAAACTTCCAAACTCTGAGTATTTTATCTGAAAAATTTAACAGTGATCTATTTACCTGGTTGTTATGAGTATTAAGTAAGTTTATTCATGAAAACTATTTATACTCCCATTTGGCAGATGCACAGCAAATTTCTGCCCCACTCCTTCCTCCTGTTTCTCCTCTCCTCCTTCATCCTTTTCCTCTCTCTTTTTTTCATCACATAAACAGTTCTTCAGTTCCTAGTTTTATTTTTCTTAACCGGAAGGCGTTATCTCCTCAGGGATTACCAGTTTATTCTTCAGAATGTTTTCCCAGCATGTGACTTTTATCCATACTATCAGTGGTATTTAAGTACTATTATGACCCATATGTTCACAATGTAATATGGTTGATTGCTTGCTCAAAGGTGGTTGCTTCAGAAAGGTGAATGTTTTAGGGCCTTGATGTAGTGCCATAAACTGAAGATACTTTGGGCTTTAAAAAAAAATCTCTTTAACATTCTTTCATTGACAGAGTAGATATCCTCATCCTCAGCAAAATCTGAACAAATTTATTAGTTAGAAAATCTACTATCACTGTGATTCAGTAACAACATCGAAACAAATACACATAAGATTATTCTATTCCCACAGGACTAAGAGCAGAATTCCTTACGGCTCCCCCCTGCCATGGCAGCATTGATTGGTGGTGGTATTAGAGTTTCAGAGACCAGGATAGAAATATAGCAATCACAGAAAGCCTGGGGTAAGAGAAAGACTGATTCTTGATAGACAGGGCTATTTGTAGAACTTTTACCATAGTCCTCCCAGGCAAGCCCTCCAGCTGCTGGCCTATCATGCTCCTTTCAGGGCCAGCCATGTCTGATCTCCAGTAACAACATGTGAAGACAGGCCATGTCTGATCTCTATCAGCAACATATGAAGGCAGAAGAGCAAGCTGACGGGTGTGTTCACACACAAACAAGAGCACTGGGGGAGCTGGCAAGCACATCCTGCCCCATCCACAGCTCCTGCTTCTGTTTTTAACACATTAATTGGATCAAGCTTGAAACTTTCTTTGATCCTCTTGACACCCTGATTACTGTTGTTTATTTAGCTCATGATTCTTCTGCCTCTAAGGTAAATCTTCATACTGTATGGATCAATAGACTAGAGGGGCCTTAATTAAAGCTGTGGGATTAGAAATTGATATGGAAGCTAAATTCCATGTTATTTCTCATGGACTTCTCTTTTATTATTAATTCTCTAAAATTTTTTAACTGATACCTAGAATTTGTATGTATGTATGAGATTTTCATATGATATTTCAATACATGTACACATCATGTAATGTTCAAATTAGGGTAAACGCATCTATAATCTCAAACATTTGTTATTTCTTTATGGTAAAAACATTCATAATCCTTCTAGCTTTTTAGAAATATATATGGTACATTATCTACAATTATCTACTGTGTCTTTAAACAGCAGGATTTTTTTCTCCTGCCTTACTGTAACTTAATACCTGTTAAACAAACTTTTCCACCCTCCCTGCTCCTTACTTTTCCCTGTCTCTGGTAATCACTGTTTTACACTCCAATTCCATGAGTTCATTTCTTTTCTTAGATTATATATATTAGTGAGATTATATGACATTTGTCTTTCTGTTTTATTTCATTTAGCATCATGACTGCTGGTTCTATCCATGTTGTCATATGGTGTCCGTCATCTAGGGCTGGGGATTTAGCTCCCTGCATCTGATAAATGAAATAAATGTGGCATACATGCACAGTGGCATACTGTTCAGCCATAAAAAGGATTAGAATCTGTCATTTGTATCATGTACCCTTCCCATTGAACCACATACCAGTAGTCACTTACAAAGTTTGGTGAGACATTGGGTGTCCCACGGCAGATTTCAGGAATGCAGATGGATGCATGAGTAGAAATGTGAAGAAAAATGGGGTCTTTTGTCATGTCTTCTTTCTGGATACTTACATGTCACTTTGGAGAATCAATATCCTGTATATGTATGAATGTACTGAAAAAAAATCACAAATCTGGGTTTATTTCCTGTCTCAGGTAGAGAAAGATATAATTACAGAGATATTTGAGAGTATAGTTTATAAAGCTTTTAACTTTACTAATTCAGTTATCTCTTGTGGTTTCTGCCTAAATGCTCTGAAGGAGTCCTTTATCCTCTGTGCCAGAAATGGGAGCTGTCCCCCATCACAGTACTGAAGTAACTGCAAAAATATCACTGACCCGTCAAGTTTTTCAAGCTCCTAGATGATGATCAAACATGTGAGAGCAATTAGGTAAAATATGAGGCCTACTAACAGGAATTGTGTTAGAAATTACTGTCATTTATGGGACTTACTGTTGTAATGGACTTAAATTGTGATTCTACCATTTAGTAGCTCTGTACCAAGAAAATTAATTTTTATGAGCCATTACTTGTCCATCTGTAAAGTTTGGTTAATATAGGTCTGTGAAGACTTTCCTGTGAAAATTCTTTTACAATATCTGCAATATTGTGGATGTCTCTCAGTTGCAGGTTTCTTATCTAAACTCTAGTTATCCGAACCTAATACTCTTGGGAGCTACTGCCCTTGCAGATGCCAGTGGAGAGCCAGCATGGTAAGGGTCCCCAGTTGATTACAGATGAATGTGCAGCTCCTTCTGTCATTTTACCACACTTGTGATATTCAGCATCATTTATGAGGAAGATATTATTGATGAATGACTTTAAAATTTTGGGGGATGATTCATAGGATATAGACAGAATAAAAATCTTATTTTCCACAAATCTTGAAATTAATTTGAACTCCAAAAGGGAATGATAGAGGTATCAGAAGGGAACTGATAAAGGGAGCGAGAATAGACGTTTAGATAATTAAAACTTGAGGTTTCTGTGCACTTTGAAGTCTTCTTTGTTTAGAGTTAGTGAAATATTTAAGTTTGCCAATCAGAATATCATAAAAAGATCATGTACAAAGATATTATAGGGCATTTTTTTGTACTGATGATTGAACTTGGGCTCTTGTGCTTGTGAGGCAGGCACCGGAACCACCGAGCTAAATCCCTTTAGGGCATGTTTTAAGTCCAAAATGTTCTCTTGAGTCTTTGGTGTTGTCTAGTAGGATCATGTTGGGACACTCTGACTTCTCTTCCCTACACTACGGGTTGGTTAATCTACATCCTAGAAAGGCAAAATAAAATATTTAAGATTAGAGAATGTCTCATTGTGAATTTTAAATTTGGAAACAGAGGTGTCAAATCCTGTGTGAGATTATAGAACTTTTATTGTAGAATTTAAAGCATTTAAACTCACACACACCTTTTCCTGCACTTACAACTCCACTGAATTGCCTTACATTCTGGAGATATAGAACAGAACCTTCAGAAGATAAGCCTCCTTCTATGACTGAAATAAGATTTCAATTTGGGCTGACATGCAACTTTCATTTTGATTTTATTTTTGGCATAAAATAGTACTCATTTCAGGTTAAAAATCAGACATGATGGATATGAAAAGATTCGTATTAATTTGCATTAATGTTGTAATTATGGAGGAGATAAACTAAATGATTTTGTGGTGTGCATGAATAAATTTAACACCATGATATAAGTCCCACAGTAAGAAGCAGAATCCTGAGTTTTTAGTCTTAGCTTTTACCTAGTATTACCTATGTGAATTTTCCCCTGACTTTCATATTTTAAAATGTAAGTTTATAGTAATAATATTCCTGTTGTCTTACTGAGTTAATGTAAAGAAGAAAAAAAACTCCAAAGAATTGACTCTGTAAGGTTATCTATAGATTATAAAGTATTATACAAAATTAAAACATTTTTGGTAATGGGTACATTTGTGTACACCAAAATATTTAAACTGCATTAATCTTTCAATATCTGATATATTCCTTAAATTCTATAATTCAGGGGTAGCATTTCAAAGTATTTTCAATCCCATAGTCTGGCTTTGATTACCACATCAAGGAACACCTCTATCCGTAGCATTTGAGCATAAGTTTGGAAACAACTAAGGCTAGTATCATTGAGAACCTATGCTTACCTTCAGGCTTTGTTGAGATTCGTGTAGGTCTCCAGTCTTTACCCAGAGTGGCAGATGCAGACATCACTTCTTTTTGTGTATCCAGTATCTAAGGATGAATGGAGCCCATAGGTACACTCAGAGACAAGAGTACCACTAATGTTGAAAAAAAAAAACAGGTGAATGGTCACACACACGACATACTTTGTCTTATTCTCGCTGAACTTGATCATTGGTTTGTTGGCTCAAAAGGGTTCTTATTTAACGACGCTTTCAATAAACGTATGCCTGGGGAAAAGAAATGAAGCACACACTAAATGAAAGTATTGAGCTATGATTTTATTTGTTGACTTCAAAATTAAAATAAGAAAATGGTGCTTCATTCTGTGAAGAAAAATATGATTGCCAGTTAATAATAATATAAAGTAATATAGTAAATCTTATGGAACAGAACTTTTCCCTAATTCTGACCCTCGCTGAAGCATAGATAAGTTAATTATGCATCTTTGAACCTAAACTTTCTCTCTTTCAAACAAGAAAATAATATATAATATAGTAGAAACTCAGTAGTTTTCTGTTGCTTAGATGGTAGATTTCATTTCTGGATGAATAAAGAGAAATATTTTGCCATTTTTTATATTTGTAAAAGAAAGTATTAGATGTGGCAATTTCTAAGGCTTCTTTGTGCTTCAACTCTGTGTGAGTTTGTGAACAGTGTAGAGTGGTGTCAGGTCTTAGAGGTTATCAAGTTCAACCTCCTCCCTTGACAAGTAAAAGAAGTTATAGTTCTGACAAATGCATTGTTAGACTACTCATTATATCTTTGTCACTTTAGTATATTTCATGCAATAAGGATGGCAGTGTGGTCAAAGAAGAGTCAAAGATTTTACTGGGATCCAAAGGACATGGCTGGGCCCTCTGGGAATCAGAGAAGACAGCTGTGCTTAAGACCTTGTGGCTGGTTTGCACATTCTGTGCAGGGCTGCAGGAAGTGATCACAGGGCCCAGGACCCACTGACAGAGGAAAAGCATGAGCACAGTGAGAATGGATTTGGAAATAATGAACCTTTTGTCTCATCTGTTGCTTTCAAAACAGTTTGCAGATTCAATGGGTAATAGAAACTTTAATTAAAAATGAAAGGAGAAATTAAAGCTTGAAAACAGCATCTTGAAGGAAAGAAGACCTCAGGATCAGGAAAAATATTGCCAGAGTCATAGAACAGAAAGAGCTGTTTCTATTGAATTCAAGTAATTTAAGCACCCAACATTACTAGTAAAGCAATATGCATGTTTAAATACGCCCAATGAAACATTACTTATATCAAGAAAAGACCTAAGTTTTAGGATCTGGCCCAGTACATAAAAACACGAGTGAATGTAATGGTGCAGTTCTATAAACTCTCATCACTGGTATTGATGAAGTGTGGTAGTCATATGCTAGAGCAGGCTCTGATCTTTATGCTACTTGGGCTGATTTAATGAGAGTCCGTTGGAGTCCTCTTTGGAGTGTAAACTTGGTATGAGATGTCTGTGTCTGCTCAAAAGAACAGAAACACTTTCGTGCTATAGAAAATGACAAATTTCGAGGTGGTGTATGAGATTTCTTTTGCTATAAAATATATTGCCAAGAACATAGAGGCTTAAAAATATTCTCATCTACTTACTTTCAATTCTGTAGATTAGACTACGGTGCCCGACAGGAGTGAGCTCTCAGGCTGAAGAGAAGGTAATGGCTGGCTCTATTTTCATCTGGAGTTTGATAATTCTCTCTGAGGTGTACTCTTGTTATCTAAAGAACTCAATTTCTTGTGCTCTTGGCTTCTTGGGGTTTCATGAATTGCTCTTCATAACGTCTCTCCATTTTTAAGTTGGCAATGGCACATTAAATCATTCTAGTGCTTCAAATCTCTCTTACTTCCTCTTCTGCTACCAGCTTGTGAAAACGCTTCTTCGATAGGGTTCGTCTGGCTGAGTTCAATCTACTTGTTACTTCTCATATTCTAAGACCAGCTGACTTGGAATGTGAATCCCATCTGTAAAATCTCTTTGCAGCACCAACTTGATTTGCATGTGATAGACTAATGATGGAATGGAAATCCTAAGTGGGGGTGATCTTTAAATATCTAGAGTAATTTTCATCAGAAACAATGTTTGGTCAGAAAGCAGTGGGACAGTGTAGGGGAGCTTTGTTTAGAATGACTCAAACTTAGAATTCAACAAGAGAATGGATAAACAAATCATAGTATTTTATTTGTGATGATTTGATTCTATAATAAAATAATTTGAATAATGGGAAGGTGTAGAGTATGATGAGGAAACTAAGGGATAAAAGACTGATGAGTAATACAAACATTGGGTGATAGGAATTCAAGAAATTAAGTTGACCTTCAAAGAATGAAGGACTTGCCAAGAGTTCAATACAGGCTATGGGAGAAGCTTAGAACAAAGGTCATCAAGTCATAGGCTCTGCCAATGATCACAACAAAGAAGGGTAGAGCCAAAATGCGAGAATCGCCTTTCATTACTGAACATAAATTTAAATCCTGATCTCTGGACTTGGATACTGCATAGACAACTTTGAAATATCTTACAGTTTGGCAGCCTATAACTAAAGTTTACATTTTCCAGTTAACTTATCTAATATGTCTTCCTGGAGAAAAGATAATTTTCATAAAACCTCTCATTTTGAAAAGGGGAGGATAAGGAATGAAATAAGTATGAAGCAGCCCATAACATATACATTATGCTTTTTCAGGAAGTAAGCATCACAATTCAGTATTCCAATTTTCTCACCAAACTCCCTAATGCCTGGGAGGCATGGCTTTGAGTTTTGAGACTTATAATGTGAACATTTAAACTACTATACCTACGTCATTTTAAGGGCTAGATTGTGTTGTCTCACTGCCTTCATTCCCGTGACTTGGGCTTTACTTCTTGCTCACCATTCTCATCGTAGTGAATAGAAATTTGAGTTTCAACCGCAATTTCAAAGTTCAAAACCTGCTGCCGCATATTCAGGCTTCTCTGCTGTTGAAAGCCCCTCAGGATTTCTGGGCAATCTTGCCTTTCTCCACTAGCCTATTATGATGCCACTGTTGGGCAGGGAACAGCTTTTCTCCACTAGCCATGGATCTAACAATCATAACTGGACCTTTCTTCATCCTGCTGCAGATCAGATAATGGTCTTCACCAGTGGCTCCCTTCCCTCAAGTCACACACAGACCTGTCCCTGCCTAGGTTGCCCCTCCCTCTTTCCTCTTTCTGGCTTTCCCAGTGTGTGGCAGGGGTTGTCAATAGTACTTCTCTCTTTGATGTGTCCTTATCCTGTCCACCTCTCCCATGCTCATCTTCCTAAACAAAATCTATTTCATGAGCAATTGAAATAAGTAAAGTAAACACATAAAATTATAATGAAGTAGAATTTAAAAATAATAGATGATAAAAGAGTAAAGAATAAAATAAATTAAATTACTAAGAGTGAACAAGTAAAGGGACAAGGATCAACATCTGTTTCTCAATGTAAATTTGTTCTCCCTTCATCTTTTTTCATGTCCTAGGTCCAGTATTTCTTGGTTGTTGTTTTGGTGATTAAATGCCAGGGCCTTATGTGTGCTAGGCAAACACTTTACCGCTGAGATAACTTCCCAGACTTTAAATTCTCTCTTGAGGCAGGGCCTTGCTAAATTGCCCAAGCTGTCCTCAAACTTGCACTCCTCCCGTCTCAGCATCCTAAGTAGCAGCACAGTCTTAATCCTCAAAAACTTTATGCTTCATAGAGTAGCTGTCTCTTTTCTTATGTAACCACGAACATGCCCCTCTGGTTTTTGCCTTTTCTCATGCTGCTCTGTTTCATGCTTCATTTCTCAGGCTGTCTGAATCTCTCTGACTAGACCTTCCCCCAGTTTTCTTGCGGTCCTTGGCCTTTTAGAAGCCTTTCTCCTCTAAGGATTTTTCCAATGTATGCAAGTTTCTCCTTTAACCTCAGATTACCTCTCCCTTTCATAACTGATTACATGAAAAAGAACATTATTTTAAGAATTGTATCACAGTCTTCCTTTTAAAAAGCCTAACCCAACATTGGGTTGGAAAAATAAAATTTCAGAAATAAATTTTGGAACCTTGGGTGTGTCATTACTTAAAATATCTCGTAAGCCCTAGCTTACTCACAGATTGAAACGTGGCTATTTGCCCTTAGATTCTAAGCTGAGAATGCACACTTACAGTCCTTCACTTACTTCCCACTTATTTCTATTTTATACACCTCAGCCTAGTTCCAAAAGACATGTGAGAAGAAACCTCCAGAGTGGAGTTTTATTTTAGCAAACCTTCATGAAGACCTCACCGGTTCTAAATCAATACAGTAGTAAAATACCAGCGGGAAGTGTGTTCGGTTATATTTAGAAGCTTTATGTGAAGCTGGATTATGAGGACCTGAACTTACACCTGCCCTTTTAGTTTCACCTCAGCTGTGCTTGTAATTAGGTGTAATTGTTTCCTTACAAAAATAATCAGAGTAATTTAACCAGTGATCTGTTTTTGTTTTCTGATAACTGGAACTGCTGCTCCTGTGTGGTGAAGCCTGGGAGGGGGTAGGACTAGAAAGCTGGTGCTTTTAGTTTCTTGAATCTTTTAAATTTTGTGGACGTCATTCTTTTATGCTTATTTAGTTCTATGACCACATATGTATCACGATTACTGGAAAGATAAACACTAAGAGGTAGTAAGATTTTTTTTTTTCTAGGAAGAAATGATTCAAATAGGCTTATAGCTTAGTGCTTCAGCAGAGATAGGAAAACTTAGCAGAGTCCAACCAATCATTCCTTGGTGGATCAAGCCCATTCTAGAATTTTAGTAATAAAATAGTGACAGAACTTTCTGGGGACCGATCTCATACAGAACTAAGATTGCCCTGCATATAGGTAGTAACTAATGCATGGATACTACAGATTACAGGAGCGGATTGTAGGGTTGGGGGCCAACAAGTCTTGGTTTCTATCTGAGCTCTGACCCTCCTAGTTGTGTGATTAAAAAAAAGTCTTAACCTCTTTGAGCCTACAATATCTCCTTTTTAATATGGGAGTTTACTTCTTTGTGGAATTAAACAGCTTGCTGATTGTGCAGTGAGGTTTGCAAATGAGTTATTATTATTAATCAATGAACTTTTCAACAGAGGGCCCAATTCTAGTGGATTTATGTGTGGGAAGACAGGGTCAAGGAGAACTTTCCCTTGTGATGACTAGTTTATATTATGTGATTTAGGAATGTTTGTCAAATCCTAGCTTCTGA